ATTTAGTTTGATGTTGGCTGTTGGCTTGCTGTCTATTGCCTTTATTATGTTTAGGTATGTTCCTACTATCTCCAAGACTTTTATCATGAACGGGTGTTGAATTGTGACAAAGGCTTTTTCAGAATCTATGGGATTTTTTTTCTTTCAGTTTGCTTTTATGGTGGATTACATTGATAGGTTTTTGTATGTTGAAGCATCCCTGCAAATCTGGGATTAAGCCACCTTGATCATGGTCGATGATTTTTGGATGTGTTCTTGGATTTTGTTTGCCAATATTTTATTGAGTATTTTTGCATCAACATTCATGAGGGAGATTGGTCTGTAATTGTCTTTCATATCTGAGTCTTTGTATGGTTTGGGTATCAGAGTAACTGTAGCCTCATAAAAAGAGTTTGGCAATGTTCAGTCTGTTTCTATTGAAGGGAACAATTTGAGGAGTGTAAGTATTAATTCTTCTTTGAAGTTCTGGTGGAATTTTGCACTGAAACTATTGGGCCTTGGACTTTTTTGGTTGGGAGACTTTTGATGACTACTTCTATTTCCATGGGAGTTATGGGTATATTTAAATTGTCTTGAATTAATTTATGGTGTATGATAACTCTCCAGAAAATTGACCATTTCTTTTAGATTTTCCAATTTTGTGGAGTACAGCTTTTTGATGTATAAACTAATGATTCTCTGGATTTCCTCAGTGTCTACGTTATATCCTCTTTTCATTTCTGATTTTGTTAATTTGGATATTCCTCCTCTGCCTTTTGGTTAGTTTGGATAAGTATTCATCTATCTTATTGATTTTTCTCAAAGAACCAGCTTTTTGTTTCATTGATTCTTTGTATTGTTTCCTTTGATTCTATTTTATTGATTTCAGCTCATAATTTTATTATTTTCTGTAATCTATTCCTCCTGGATGAGTCTGCATCTTTTGTTCAAGAGTTTTCATGTGTGCTTTTTAAGTCTCTAGTGTGAGATTGCTCTGCTTTCTTTATATAGGCACGTAGTGGTATGAACAATTCTGATTGTCCATTTCTGAGGACAAAGTGTCAGCACCTCCATTTATGAGTGTGAACCCATCTACATCTCTTTAATTAAGTTAAAGTTTGCTTTATGTGGTTTTAAACTCTGTTACTAGGTATGTACTTCATGATGATAATTAAGATTTTACAATTTTAAAAGTTTCTAGTAACATTCTTTGTTTTTGAAGAATCTTTCTGTTATTAATATAGACTCTAGTTCCTTTCTTCACTTTTCCCTCTCTTTTCCCTTTTCCTTCTCTCCCATGTTTCTCTGTATAAATTTCGGCAGATTGTGTCATTCAAAGATTTTGTCTGTTTTATCTAGATCATCCAATTTCTTGTAATACATCTTTATAGTAGTCTCCAACTTTTCTTTTAGTGTCTGTTGTAATTCAAATACTGTTGTTTCTGTTATTTGATGTTAGTAACACATATCTTCTGATATTTTACCCTCTAGTTTGGCTAGTTGATTGATTTTCTTAACTAGTCTTGCAAGTTGATTATCAACTTTATTGGTCACTTTAAAGAATCAGCTTTAGCTTTGTTGATATCCTCTATTATCCTGTGTTTACTGACTTTGACTCTAATTTTTCTTCTGCTTATTTTTCTAGTTTCTGGAAGTTGGAGTTTAAATTATTGATTTTTTAGATAACTTTTTCTTTTCTAGTATAAGTAGTTAAGGATAAAACTTGCCCTCTAAGCACTGATTTTAGTATTCTACAAGTTTTGATAACTTCTATTTTTATTTAGCTCATAATACTTAAAAATTTTTCAAGATTTCTTCTTTCAAAATCATTATCTAAAAAAATTGGTATGACATCATCTCCAAAATACTTGTGGGGTCCATTTAATATTGTTGATTTCTATTTTAATTCCACTATAGTCAAGGAACAATAATGATATGATCCCATTCTTTAAAATGTGTTAACCTGTTGAGATTGAGAGATGCATCAGTGTTTTTCAGCACTGGCTGTTCATTCAAAGGACTTGGGTTTGGTTTCCAGTAAGCACATGGTGGCTCACATCTAATTGTGACTCCAGTTCCAGGGAATCTAAGGTCCTTTTCTGGCTTTTGATGGCACCAGGTATGCAAATGTTGTACATACATACATACATACAAGCAATATACCCATACATATAAAACAAATAAAAAACTGTATTATGTGTTGTGGCTCAGGATATAATCTATTGTAGTGATGAGCCAAGCAGGCCTGCTTTTCCTCCTGCCCGGCTCCCGCATGGCTAGCTTAAAACCCGAAATAATAACACACAAATAGTATTCATTTAAACACTGCCTGGCCCATTATCTCCACTATCACATATTGATCTAACCCATTTTTAATATCTGTATTGCCACTTGACTATGGCTTACTGGCATGAGTCCGTCTGTCTTGGGTAGGAGAAACATGGTGTCTGCCTGACTCTGCTTTCTTCCTCCCAGAATTCTATTCTGTCTACTCCACCCACCTAAGGGCTGGCCTATCAAAAGGCCAAGGCAGTTTCTTTATTGACCAGTGAAAGTAACAAATACACAGATGACCCTCCTACATCAATCAATGTTCTTGAAAGCTCCATATGAACTTGTGAAAAGATATATTCTACTATAGGAAGTCTTCTGTAGTATAAGTTATACTGATCTGGTGACGGAGTTGCAATGTTCAGTTATGTCTGTCTGATTTTGTGCCTATTGTTGGTTTCTCCCTTTCTAATAGAGGGATGTTAAAATCTCTAAACTACAGAACTGAATTTCCCTCTTTCTTCTAAGAGCTTATAACAGGTTTGGCTTTTTCATCTCAACTCTCTGTTGTTATGTACCTACAAGCTAATGATTGGGATTTGTTCTTGGAGGAGAATTGGTGGTGCATCTTTCTACAAGGCCCACCTTTATCCTTGATATCTTTTCTTGATCTCAAATTTTCTTTATCTAAAATTAATATAATAATCTACCTTTGGGTAGCTGTTAGCATAGAATTTGAAATTCATCTTCCATCATACTCAAACATCTGAGAATGAAAAAGGAATGGTTTCTCAAAAGATAGAATTTTCAACAAGAGCAGAAAGGGTGTGGAGTTCTGAGGTATCAACAAGTCTACCAAAGAAGCAGAGGCCATGACATCTTTGTTGTCCAAAAATAGAGAAAAAGTATATTGTAACTGCAAATCAACTAGAATGAAGGAAGGAAGATAATGGATGAATCATTATTAATCCTTATTCTAAATTTATTGGAAAAAAAAACTGTACACAGCCTAGGTAAGATGCTTACCATATGATCAAACAAAATTAATTAGAATTTGGAAGATGGAGAAAAGTTGTAATGTAGGTTTGGATGAGGATGATACACTGACTAAAGCTGTTCCTGAGGACGTGATTTTTACATGGGAAAGGGGGAGAGTTCCATTGTAAAATACTGTTGGTTAAATAAGTTATTTTACATGTGGGAAACAATATCTTGCAATTTTGAATTTCAAAATGTTAATATACTTTCATCCTCAGATGTTATAACATCTAATGTTTTAAAGTGTTTTTTTGTTGAGTAATTTTAGTGAAGGTTAATGGTTATCTATTGTGTTGAATACGACTTTTGAGAAAGAAGGCTTTTACTCTATAGGAAAATACAAAACAAATGTTCTCTTCTTTAAATATTTTCTAGAGTCAAGTCATTCAATTATGGCAGGAAAATGGCAGGAATCACGGGCTTATCAGCATCAGGATCCACAGTATAATCACCATCAGGAGCCACAGGATGATCCATATCTTATTCCATTTGGTAATATTCTTCCTTCTGTAGTAGCCATCATTGAGGAGATAGAGAGTGGGTCTTGATTAGGAAGTAGCTGATATGTTGGCTGTAGTATTCCAGCCTTCCTCTTAGTAGAAGCATCTAGTGGTCCAAGTACTGTGCTGTCACAGGTCTGGAGTAATTGGACTGCTCGTTGTTTCCCTAGCAAGGCTCATCCTTGTGTGCCTCTAAATCTTTGTAAACTTGCAGCAATGGAAAGACCATGGGTGTCTTAGTCACTGTTCTGTTGCTGTGAAGAGACACCATGGCCAAGGCAACACTTACAAAAGAAAGTATTTAATTGAGGACTTGCTTATGGTTCAGAAGTTTAGTCCAATATCATCAGGGTAGGGCCATGGTGGCACTCATATTGTTGAGGAAGTAGTTGGCAGCTACATCCTGATCCACTATCAGAGAGAGGTGGGAGGGGTTAACTGGACCTGGCATGGGATTTTGAAGCTCAAACTCCACTCCTGATGACATACTTCCTCCAACAAGGCCATGCTCGCCCGAATAAAGCACATCTAATCCACAACCATTCAAACAGTTCCATTTCCTTGTGATTAAGCATTCAAACATATGAGCCTGTGGGGCCGTTTCCATTCAAACCACCACCATGGGTTTAATTTCCTCTCACATCTGTGTTAAAGTCCCACTTTTTTCTTATTTGGTTATGTGGCTTTTATTTGGTCATAAGATGTGAGGCTTGCTTTGTCTTGCCTCAGGAGGCAAGTGACTGGACAACAAGAAAAGGGAAAGCTTTTAGCAAAGCTAAGACTCATTCATGCATAAAGCTCCTCCATCATAAAACTGTTTCTGATTACATTAAAGTGAGGTTGTCCCGACCCCCACAGTTGTCGCAGGTGAGCTGGAACAGATGCTCTGATGAAATAAACACCCTTCAGTAAATTTATCAGTCATGATGCCTTTTGCCAATGTATAGACTGCATGAGTTCTTAAGCAGGAGAAGCTTACAGGTTCTGAAGTTTAATTTAAACTTTCTATACGTGAGCACAATAGTCAGCTTGCATATTTAATTCTCATAGACTATAGAAACAAAATCTATGGGCAAAACTTAGAGCTGACCTGTCTGTGAATTTATACTTATCTAATAGGAAGGATAACATATCTAAGTATTATGTCTGATAATTTTACACATTTTCAGTAAAATTATAAATTTTTCATGTTTTTAAAAACATTCATACCTTTTCACTGGAAGCAAATATTTATAACAAATTTTTATTTCTACTGATTATTATTTTAGTTTTCACGAGATGGTCAGGCTGGGGAAGTTGTATAAAATGTTTTAAAATCAATTGATTTAGCTTATTTGTAATCTGTAAGTAAAAATAAACAAAAATTTCTAACTACTTTAATGTAAATGACATGAATTACTTATAATGACAGTGTCTTCATATTTTCCACATTAATGCTTATCTCAATCCTTAGGAAGAGGCTTGCTGATTGTTTTGGTACTGATCAAAACTTAGGAGACAATCACAAGATTTGTTTCATGACGATCATGAATTGTATGATGACATCAATATTGCCTACCACCAAAAAATAGATTTAGCATACTATTTTTGTAATTTAATGCAAATTTATTGTGTTTTTATGACTGACTTTCTTGATTGTAGCTGAAACTGAGAAGCAATTTTCTGTCTCTGATTGATAGCAAAACTATTGTGTTAACTTCAAATACTTTACATATACACTGATCCAAAAGAAATGTGTATCAGATGGCACAGTTGGCTAGTATTTGGATTTGTTTTAAAAATAATGCATATTTTTAAATTGTAATTATACTGTTTTTAGGATATGATTTCCAGAACAAAAGACATCCTAATACAAATTCATGTAATTAATTTTAGGTAAATATAATACTCCAAGTCTTTTATTAAGAGCTGTCTTTGTTTCTCTCTCCCTTACTCTCTCTCTCTCTCTCTTTCTCTCTCATGTGTATGTGTGTGTGTGTATCTAGATATCACTACAGTGTCTGTACAGATAGGCACAAAGGCTGTGCTGCACTGCCCTCAAACTCCATCAAAAAAGGCAAAATTTATAATATGGGAAATAGCTCTCATAAGTCAGCCTCCCTGCACAATATCCTACAGAGTAGAAAACAACGAGACCCATAAAGGCTGCGCTGATGAAAGAATCACCTGGGCCTCCACACCTGACCAGAGTCCTGACCTTCAGATCAATGCAGTGGCCCTCGGTCATGATGGGCATTATTCATGTCAAATACACACACTCATGAAGAATTTCCAACAAGAATATAGCTTCCATGTGATAGGTAAGTCACAATGTTACATATTGCGGTACTTTAGGTCACTGGATTTTAGATAGAAACAAATGCCTTTGTAATTTGTGACAAGACTGAATTTTTTTTTCCTTCTATTCCTCACAGTCCCCCCAGAAGTAACCCTAGTTCAAGGCGAAAACAGAACTGCAGTTTGTGAGACAATTGCAGGCAAGCCAATTGCACAGATCTTTTGGACTCCAGATGGGGATTGTAAAACAGTGACTGCATCACACAGCAATGGCACCGAGACTGTCAGGAGCACATGCCACTGGGAGCACAACAATGTGTCTGATGTCTTCTGCTTTGTCTCCTATCTGACTGGCAGCAAGCTTATGTCCATAGAACTGAATCAAGGTAAGTACCCTTTTCTTGTTTTCAGGGCCCTCTATGGAGGAAGGAGCATAGAGCTTCATGCTATCTCAAGGATTTCTGTTTGTTTAAAAAGAAAAACATACTTGATATTTAACATTTTTTCATGAAAGACAAATATTTGGAGTTCCTACTATCTCTGATAATTGTGGCCAAAAGTCACTTAAGGGAGGAAAGAGGACAGTCAAGACAACTCAATCATAATCTTGACGTAGAAACCATGGGCTAGCTAGCTGCTTGCTAGTTACTCAGATCCATGCTAAGCTCTATCTATCTATCTATCTATCTATCTATCTATCTATCTATCTATCTATCATCTATCTAACTATTCTGCACAGGAATGATGCCACCCATATACTGGTCTCTTAGGTGGCTTTAGGCCATATGAAGTGGACAATTAAAGCTAAATAGGACAACAGACCCACTTAAGACACCTGCAGTTCTTACCAATAGGCTACAAATTCAGAATGTTTCCATAATCTATTTATCAGGGTAAGTAATTTGGTAGAATGGTTCACAGAACTGAAAATACACTTTGCTTACTATTTTAATGGTTTATTATAAAGACTGCAATACAGGGACAGACAAATTGAAGAGATTCTCAGGGCCCTCTATGGAGGATGGAGGATCCCTCTTTGTATGCTGTGAAGACCATTGCTTAAAAAAGAAACTGCCTTAGGCCTGTGCAGGGAAGAATAGATATAGGTGGGAAAACTAAACTGAATGCTGGGAGAAAGAAGGCAGAGTCAGTGAGAAACCATGTAGCCCTATTAGAGAAAGATGCCTGAATCTTTCCGGTAAGCCACAGCTACATGGTAATACAAAGATTAAAAGAAATGGGTTAAATTAAGATGTAAGAGTTAGCCAATTAGAAGCTAGAACTAATGGGTCAAGTAGTGATTTAATTAATAGTTTCTGTGTGGTTATTTCAGGACTGAGCAGCCTGTAACAAACAAATGGCCTCCTACAACAAACTGGTGCCAATGTGGCCAACTAAAATACACTTTAAGAGAGGTTTTCCTGATTCAGTGGTAACAGAAAAAAGCTGTGCAGTTTTGAAATGGTGGCTTTCTTGGTCATGCTGCCAGCATGAACTCTGGCTTTTCCAGAAGGCCGAACAATTAAATGGGGCTTCTGGGCAGAATGCTGCAAGTTACTTGGTGGCAGCATGGGCTAACTGGTTATCAGAGTTGAGGTACTGAGGATGATCCCACACAGCAGTCTCAGAGAAAGTGAATGGACCTCTGCCGTGTTGTACTGGGTGGAATATGCAGGCCATACCATATTTGCTCTAGAAATGCTGCTGCTTAGGTTTATAAGAAGTGCTTATCATTTTAAGAAACAGTCCTGGGCTGGAGAGATGGCTCAGAGGTTAAGAGCACTGCCTGCTCTTTCGAAGGTCCTGAGTTCAATTCCCAGCAACCACATGGTGGCTCATAACCATCTGTAATGGGGACTGGTACCCTCTTCTGGGCTGCAGGCATACAGACAGAATATTGTATACATAATAAATAAATATTTAAAAAAAGAAACAGTCATATTCAGAAAAGGATACAGATACACAATAAAGACAAATTCAGATGAAAAAGACCTCTAAATGGGTCACAGTGTTGGATAACTGTATATAGGCTTGGGGAAAAGAAGAAAAAGAGTGTAGAGAGTTATGAAAAAAGTAAATTGTTTAAAAAATTAGAAGAAAGTCTTTAAAGAGACAGATTAAACTTGTAGAAAAGTAATAGAGTAAGAAAAATAAGTCATGTGAAGATGAAATGTACACAGAGGGTCTAGATTATGTATATTTTGTGTTTTCTTTGAAATTTTTGACTGTGGTATAGGAGGTTCTTCTGTTTGTGTGTTGCTTTTCATTGGTTAAATAAAGAGACTGCCTTGGCCTTTTGATCGGGCAGCCCTTAAGTGGGCGGAGTAGACAGAACAGAATGCTGTTAAGAAGGGAAGAATGACAGATGCCATGAATCTCCAGCCTGAGATGGACATAGGTTAGAATCTCTCCTGGTAAGCCATGACCTAATGGTGACATACAGATTATTAGAAATGGGTTGAATCAAGATGTAAGAGTTAGCCAATAAGAGGCTAGAGATAATGGGACAGGCAATAATTAAATCAATACAATTTCTTTGTGGTTATTTCGGGCTAGGGCTAAGATAGCCGGGTGGTGGGACACAGCCCACCGTACCTCCCTACAACAGTGAAGGAGCTAAGTACAGAGAGACATTTCATTGTACAGGCTACTAACCTAAACTCACATATATGTTTTTAAGGTTTTTTTTTATAGATTGATATTAGCCATAAAGTAAAGGATAATCATGCTAAAATTTACAAACCCAAAGAAGTTAAGGAACAAGAAAGGCTCAAGGCAGAGACATATGAATCTCACTGAGAAGTGGAAAAAGAATAGACTTCAAGGTTGATAGGGAAAAGGTAGGAATTGGGGATAGGCATGGGAACAGGAGGGATCAGGTGGGGGAGGATGGAAGAAGAGAGTACTGGAAAAGATGATTGGAATCACCTCTGGGGTGAGCTAGAAAACTAGTACAATGAAAATTCCCATTTATCTATGTGGATTATTCTAACTAAGACTAAGACTAAGACTCCTAGCAATGGGAGATATGGAGCCTGAATTGGACATCTTCTATAAGCAGGCAAGACTTCCATTGGAGGGATTTGTATCCCAACCCAGTCATATAACCTTTGACCTACAATTTGCCTTGCCTACAAAGGTATGCTGGGACAAAGGAGGCACATAAATTATGGGTATGGCCAACCAATGACTCGTCCAGCTTGAGACTCCCACTATTAATGGGCTCCCAGTTTGTAATGCCAAAACCCAGAGGCTGTATAGCCAAAGACCTAGAAAAGGACCAAGCATAACTGACAAAAGAGAAAAAACTCAATGAAATGATGCCTGGTGATATTCTGCTATACTCATAAATCATTGCCTAGTCCAATTGTCAAAAAGGTTTCACCTAGTGACTGATGGAAACAAATGCAGATCTAGAGCCAGACATTTGGTAGAGCTCAGGGAATGCTATGGAAGATGAAGAGGAAGGATTGTGGGAGCAAGAGGGACCAACGACAGTACAAGAAAACCCAAATAATCAACTAAACTGGTTTCATAGGGGCTCACAAAGACTGAATTGCCAACCAGAGAATTTGCATGGGACTGAATGACTTAGACCCTCTTCACATAAGTTACAGTTGTGTATCTTGGTCTTCTGGTAAAACTCCTAACAGAGAGAGCAGGGGCTGTCTCTGACTCTGTCACCTGATTTTCAGACCCTTCCCTCCTACCTGGTTGCCTCATTCAGCATTAATAGGAGAGGAAGCACCTAGTCTTACTGCAACTTGATATGCCATGACTGACTGGTATACGTGGGAGGCCTGCACTTTTCTGAAGTGAAAGGAAAAGGAGTGAAAGTGGGGAGGAGAAGGAAGGGTGGGAAGAGGGACTAGGAGGGAAAGAGGAAGGGGAAACCCTGTTTTGCCTAGTAAAAATGAATTCATAAAAAATAAAAGACTTGGAAAGATGAGGGATACAACGGTCATACCTTAACAAATAAAGGCAATTTACAGCAAGACTGTAAACATCAACTTAAACACAGAAAAAAAATCAAAGCAATTCCACTAAAATCAATAGTAAGACAAGGTTTTCCACTCTCTTCGTACATATTCAAAATAGTACTTGGATTTTTAGCTAGAGCAATAAGGCAACTGAAGGATATCAAGGGGATACAAATTGAAAAGGAAGTCAAACTTATGCGATTTGCAGATGATATGATAGCATACATAAAAGATACCACAAATTCTCCCGTGGAGCTTCTACAGCTGATAAACACCTTCAGTGATGTAGCTGGATCCAAGATTAACTCAAAAAAATTCAGTAGCTCTGTTACTCTTTGGCTTTTACTGGATGCCTACCACCCAGCTCCCAAATAAATCACAAGAAGGCTTATTCTTGGCTATGTATGCCTAGTCTTAGCTTAGCTTATTTCTAGCCAGATTTTCTTAACTAATTATCTCATCTACCTTTTGTCTCGGGTTTTTTTCCTTTTCTTACTTTTGTATATTTTACTTTCCCTATTACTCAGTGGCTGATTGCGTAACTAACTGATTGACCCCTAGCAACCTCCTCTCCTTATTCTGGCTCCCTAATCCCCCTTCTCAGATTTCTCCTCCTATTTATTCTCTCTGCCTCCCCCCACACCTATTTCTCTCTTCTGCCCCTCTACTAGCCATTTAGCTTTTTATTAGGCCAATCAGGTGTTTTAGACAGGCAAAGTAACATAAAAATAAATATGCAAACCTAGAAGGAGACAATCTCATGCAGCCTCACCCTTAGACAAAGATCTACAGTTAACTAAGGTGTGCTGTGCTGGGTTCTCTGGCAGAAAGGGTGGGGACAGAGCCAGTCCTGCTGGACTTTCCCTTAGGTTGAGCAGGATGGTGAGTGTTGAATGACCCAGCCCACCCCCACCCCTCAAGGGGAGAAACACACCCACTGAGTCTGGAGTCTGTCAAAGCAGGATCTCACTTAATGGTATCAGGCAGGAACTTATATAGGGTTGTGATGGGGGTGGAGAAGCTTGGGATGGGTTGAGGTGGAGTAAGGAACAAGGGCCAATAATATTCTACCATGATAGCAGTGGCTGGGCAGAGGCAGGTCTAGGTCGGGATGTGCTGAGTCACTCACAAGAGAAGTCATGGCCAAAGACAGGTCTTTAAACTCGAGCTAGACTCAGGAAGTTACACACTGGGCCTCATACCTAGGCCTTATGAGCCCCAACAGTGCTGAGAAGGGAAAGAAATAGTGTTCCCTCAGAAATGGCCCTATATCCAATCCCAAGTAGTCAGTCCTGAAATCATGTACATGCAAACAACACAGAATGGACACAACAGACTGTATTCCATATTATGTATAAATATACAACAATAATAATTTAGAAGAGGTTAGCAATTTGACAGGGAACATTGGGAAGTGAGGACAAGTGGAGGAGTTTGGAAGAAGAAAGAGGAATGGGTGGGAAGGATGCAATTATATTTTCATAAAAATAAAATAAAATTTACACGGGGACTTTTTCCTTATATAACTGGGAAGTATTAGCAATACTTAGTGTGCATGTATTCACTGTCAAATATTTGTTAGTGCCTATCAATCACAAAATATGGAATAGATTTCTAAACTTAATCCTGCAATAATGATATATGAGAGGCATTTAAATTATAATTTGTAAGGCTTTCTGATTTTGACATTCCCTAAAACATTAGGAATACTGTAAGTGATTTTAAAGCTGTTTGTTTTAATTCCCTGATGAGAACCATTATTGAACTGACTTGTCCTCTACCCTTGCCTGTAGTTACAGGTGTCACCAGCACACTGAGTTCCCTGCTGATCATTCTCTATATGAAACTGTCCCTCCTGGGGATTATTCTGCTCACTGTAGGATTTGCTTTCTTCAAGAAGAGCAATTATTTCAGGTAGGACAGAAAACTGAAATAATAAGACTAATTAGGAAAAGAAAAACATTGTCATAAGTTTAAGTTCACAGTGGACTGGGAAGATACGTTATATGACCCCATTGTGGTTTTTCCATCTACTCTTCTTCAGCACCAGGCTTTCTTTAAATAATGGAGCCCTGGCATAGATACCCACAGCACTGGCAAGAGTGTCTGCCTTGCCACAGTTCTAACTGAGGAGGGACTTAGCCTAGCCCTCTCTCTCAGGAATCAATGGTAGAAATGAAGTTTCTAAAACTTTTATGAGCTTATTTACAAGTTTCTTGTTATCTATGAGTTTCTGTTTATTTCTGTTTAATTGTATTTTTGTTGTTTACTTTTGTTTATTTTTAGAAAGTGAAAATCCAGATATCTGAAGCCCATAAATCTGATGACATAATGCAAGAAAGCAACCACCTGCAGTCACCTTTGTTGACATCCAGCTTACATGCTCCTAATGTCTTCACATCTGTTAGAAGTCATGTGATGATGACAGTTATGCAGTATGACTATACAGGCAAAAATATTGGTGCTTATCATCATACATGCTATGAACAACTATCTACTCTCTACCTTCCCCACTTCTCAGGTTGAAGAAGAAGATGGCTTAGCAAAAGGTCAACAACAGTGCTGGGTGTATTTCCTTCACCCACATCCTCCATGAATGGCTTCTACCAACTTCCTGTTCCTAGATTCATTTTATGTGATCATAAATGTTACACTTTCAGGTGCTGTGAGAAGCAACATCTTCAAGTCAGTCCACTAACTGGCCTTCTTTGCTTGCTTTCTACCAAGTAGCTAGACAGTTGCCTTTTGTAATAATAATTAAATAGCTAGCTAGGAGCCATTTTTTAGCAGTATCTCTGCATTTTAAAAGTTGGACCCAGGGAAGGTACTACCAGTAGAATGAAGATAACACTGAAAATCCCCTTACTATTTTGAACCCCATTGTCTCAATTCCCCTTGCTGTCTGCATTGTGACTTACACAGAGGTTAGGATGGATCAATATGGGTAAGGGTAAGATACTGGTAAACACTAAAACTGTACATCAAGAAGAAAAAGATAATGATGTAGGAGGATCTTCTATCTATCTGTTGCTTTCATTGGTTAATAAAGAAAACTGCTTGGCCTGATAGGTCAGAACATAGGTAGGTGGGGAAGACAGAACAGAATGCTGGGAGAAAGAAAGCAGAGTCAGGCAGATGCCATGATTCTCCGGACGCAGGTTAGGATCTTTCCAGGTAAGCCACCACCTCATGGCGCTACACAGATTACTAAATATGGGTTAAAGCAAGATGTGAGAATTAGCCAAAAAGAGGCTAAAACTAATGGGCCAGGCAGTGTTTAAATGAATACAGTTTCTGTGTAATTATTCTGGGGCTAAGCTAGCTATGCAGGAACAGGGCAGGATGAAAAGCAGGCCTGCTCACCTCAACACTACAAGATGAGGCTTGAGATTAGAAAACCTCTGCACACAATAAAGAGTAGAAGAATGCTATCGAGATATTGTCTACTTTAATAGTAGGAAATTACCATGCATTCAGCAGTAAATAAATTCATTATTGTCAAACACATATAAGGGATGTGCTCTTTTTTTTTATCTCCTCTTTCATTGCAATGTCTTCACGTTTAAGTCAGGACAGAAAATGGAAAGAGATATAATTCTGTAACAGACTAGAAAATACAGGGCAGAGATTGAAGGTAGGTTGGCTCATTGTCTCTCTTCCCTGTTCTACTTGTGAAAACAATTCTCTTCATGATTCTATCTTCATACACCTCTCTGACATGTTTTGTGCTAGACCTCAAAGTTCGTGGCTCTGGTTACTCACTCCAAGTAGTTTTCTCTGGCCAATAAAAAGATACAGAAATGGCTGTTCTTTACTTTTAAGCTTGGGTCTCAAAAGGTCCTGAGTGTTTCTACTTTTCATTCTGTGGGAAAATAGGTGACCTACCCACTGGAGTGGTTCTGGAGAATTGTCTGTAATCTGTCAATCATGTTTTAAATAAACACTGACTGGCCAGGCAGAAAGTATAGGCGGAAAAAACCAGACAGGAAGTAGAAATGATGTAATGAGAACAGAAGAATTCTGGGAAGGAGGAAGCTGATTCCTCCCACTCCTGCCCAGATCACTGAAGCAGCAGGATGTGATCTACTCCACTGAAAAAGATACTGAGCCACATGGCTAACATAGATCAGGAAAATGAGTTAATCAAGATGTGAGATTAGCCAGTGAGAGGCTAGAACTAATGGGCCAACCAGCTTTATAACATATAGAGATCTCTGTGTGATTTTTCTTTGGGACTAAACAGCTGGGGGGGGGCGGGTGGGACAAAAACCCCAACAAACAGGCACTCCATTCATGTTACACTGGAGGATGAGAATAGAACACAGTTGGTCCATGTCAGTCAAACCTTTCATTTCTCTGTTGAGGCCAGCTCAGGGATCCAGGAATTAGTGTTATTTCAGACCCTTGAGCAAGCCCAGTCAAGATCAGCAGATATGAGGCCATGCTGATCCTGGACAAATGAACAGTTATCGCCATGGAGTTCCTGTGGTTCTTTGCCAGGCAGCACATTTGTGGCATTAAGTAACTCATACATTGCTCAATAACCCAACTCCAATTTTATAAGTAACTCATACATTGCTCAAACGTAACTCCAATTTTATAAGTAACTCATATATTGCTCAATAACATAACTTCAATTTCATAAGGACAGACATAGCTGTCTCTTTTGGTTTCTTCTGCATTTGAGACTGACCACTAGCTCTAGCAAATGAGATGTGTGATATTTTTAGGACATTCCTTTAAAGAAAAGGAAGGACTTTCTTGCTTTTCAGTATATCTGTGGAACTGCAGTACTGGTGTGATGCCTGGAGGTCCCAGAACTACTTGATCTGTGGATAATGCTAAGGATGGAAGCTACTAATCGAAGAGGAAAAACAGAACAGGGCAAGAACTTGGGCCTGATGACCATAGATTTAACCCCACCAGCCCCAGACTATCCAATTGTTCTTTTATCTAATAGAGACTAAACCATGTTTTTCACATTTGTTTTTTTTTCTTTTTTTTTTTTTTTTAGTTTTACTTCATACATAGCTGAGATTAATTCTAATAGAAATAAATACTTAGTTGGTCACTTGGGAAGTTTACTACCATTAAAATTAGTTGTGTTCTACTCATGTGCATGTCTGGATCATTTGTGTTCTTCCCGTAAAGGTAATGGAATAATAGTTTTGGGACATAGGGATGGTGGGCCAGAGAGACATCTCCAGGGCGATCTTAGAAGAAGTGTCACTTGTATAAGGAAGGATTATGGTGGGAAAGTGCTTGAAATGTGCGGATGTGAGAAGATGATCTGGTAGTTGGTCAATCTCCAGATGCTTGAGGACATGTCTGAGTTGCAGAGTTGGGGAGAATAAAAACTGTCATGGGCTCCCAGGAAGGATCTGAGCAGGTGGGGGTGGGGTGTGGGGGTGGGGAGGAATAGAAATAGACTGGACTCACCACTTGTCAGAATAGCAAATGTGGCTTCTCTACTCAACACCCACTGCCACAGTTTTCAATGTGGTGTTAGCTGAACACCACACAGCCACCTGGTCCAACCCCTCATCTTCCTATCTCTACACAGATGTGAAGTTTCCTTTGTTGACCATGCACGCACATGTACACAGATATGTGTTTATATGAGCACATGCTCATGAATGTTTGTATATTGTGATGCCCCCATGTCAGAAACTAGATGAACTTGCTCATGTGTTTCCAAAATATTATAATTTACTAAATTAATTCATAAAGTATGCTGTTCCATTGATAGCAATTTGCCAGGTAGTTCTAAATCCCTTGATAGCTGATCGAGGCAACCTACTATTTTTTGTTCCAATCTTAACTATTAATATTAACTGTCAGATCATATTTTACATATCACACTGAAAATGTCTATGTATCCATATATGTATGTGTGTATATGTATGCATCTATCTTTATCACTATCATCTGTATATCTATCATCCATCCATACATCTATTTATCTATCTACCTACCTATCATCTATCTATCTATCATCTATCTATCTATCTATCTATCTATCTATCTATCTATCTATCTATCTATCTATCTATCTATCTATCATTTGCTATTATTTACCTGTGAAGGTTACAGAATGTGTACAAAGGGATAAAAAGGCTGTAGCAGACTAAGATGTTCCAAAGAGGCCTAACTATGAGGCACAAACAGAAACTGATAGGGGTTGCTAGAAGAATCTTCAGGAAGAAGAAGAGTTGAATAACTAACCATCGAAAGCCTGTCAGAGATACTGCCATTACTACTGTAGAGTCAAGTTGTAGGGGTGGAGTTCAGCTGTCTGAGAGCTGAGTCAAGCTGTGTAGCAAGGTGCAGACCAGGGAGGAATCAGAGCCAAATGATCCAGATAGACGAATGGTGAATGGACCAGCTGATGGCAGTTACAGTAGGCTACATCCGCAGCGAGGACCAAGCCAAGCAGCAGCCCCTTTCACAGTCAGGAATTTTGTGCCTATTGTTTCCTTGACTCACACAGGGTGATCGGTTGACAGGTTGGTGAGGGTCTTGCCATCACAGTACTAGGTGTCCTTCTCCTTCTGCAGTCCAGTGAGGTTGTCTTAATCTTCCCTCATTCTGGTCCATTCAATATGTCCTTGGGCCTCGTTTTCCTGATGTGACCTTAATATTTGCATGTAATCCCCATTGGCTTCCATAAGTGTGTAGGGTGAGGTGACTCTTACTCTTGGGTCTGGGTTGAGTATCAGCCTCCTGAATGTCACTGGACAGGTGGTGGTGTGTTAGCTGGCCCTGCTTCTGCACTTGCACCCAAATGGAGTCTGACGCTCTTGTGCAATGGAGTCCCTCGGGGGAAGGCCTGGCCTTGTAAACTCCTGTTTTATACAATATGGTGTCACTCGGGTCAGGCCAGTCCGATCACAACACTATCTTACACAAAAATCAATATGGTCTCAGACTGAGGAAAACTGGAAGCACAGCCCAGTTGAGAACCACTAGGTGGTGCTTCGGCTTAATTCTTTTTACCATTTTACAGCAAAATAAAGTGAACTTTGCCTCAGGAAAGCCGTCCTGTATTTCTTTATCGTTTCATACAACAAGCCTACACGTCATTAACTCTGTAGCTTTTCTTGGGTGGCACTTGGAATAGCAGCTACAAGAAGAGGAGGCGCTAAACTTCTACTTAAGAAGAAAAAACACCTTTTCAGTTCCCAATGGTACACTGCTCTTTTCTCTTAATTGTAGTAGACGCAGTTTGCTTACCAAATGAGTTGGGAGTGGATATTCACACTTGAGGGGGGGAGGGTCGTTAAACTGTCTTCTCAGTTGAGCCAAGATTAGTACTCATTGCTTCGGATGGAGAGAACGGCTTGCTAGAGTCAATGGCTTCGGGTAAAATTAGCTCTCCTTTCCCACTGCCTAGGCTCTCCCCCATCATATCTAGAGGCACATATGGTATTCTGACGCTGGAAGGAAGCTGCAGATAAATGAGGTCAACTTCCGCATTTGCTAAAAGAGGAAACCGAGACTCTCAGATTCAGTGGTCATGCGGAGTTACTAAGAAGTCAGCTGCCCTGCCTTATTATTCACCAGGAGAACACAGCTACTTTCCGAGGCCACGCCAGACAAGGGCACTCGCAGAGGCAGGGAACTGGCCATCACTACTTTGGACCCTCTCTTACTCAGGAGGCCCGAAAGCCCCCACCTGCCTAATCTCTCTTGTCTGATTGGCCCAGTTCATGTGATAGCTTGTTATCTAATCCCCGGAAAACAAGAGGGGGAGATACTTATCTGTTTAGACCTTTTGCAGAGCCAGGTGGAACTGGGCGGGGCCGGCGGGGCGGTGCCCAACTAGGCTTTAGTTCAATCTTTTACCAGGCACAGGTCCTTGTGGGAGAGCAGCGCATGGAGAGACCTGCGGCAACGTGCAAAAAGACAGAACTGGAGGATGTGTGTGAGGCCTTGCTGATGAAGGTGGTGACGGGGGAAATGAGTTATAATATGCATAAGAATTCCACAGTGGGAAAGTTCAAGAAAGAAAGGCATAGCAGGAAGAGAGGATGGCCTGGGCGGGTCAGGGTGGTCTCCATCGGGGTGACAGAAACTGTATTATTTCCTCACACACATCTTGCATTTCAAGAATTCATTTGGGAGCAGAAGACAGTTTTTAAGAAC